GTCTCGATAAAACGGTTTTGGTTAATAAACCTTATTGCCTCATGAACTCTGTCTCCTCTCCATAGTGTTCAGTATTGTGGGTTCACTCCTGTAAGCTCTCGGAGAGCGTAACAGTTCTAGCTGTATCGCCGAGGCTGTCTGCTCCTCCAGCAGTGTGTGTGTCTGTGTGTGTGCGAGCAGTGCTAACTGGGCTAACTAAGTTTGCTAGCGTTTCCATATATCAACTCCAATGTTAGCAGATGGCCTTACATACATGTATCTCATAGCTGGAGAATGTCTGCATTCACACACGAAATACTCATAGACAGTATACTCTGGGTGATTTACCGTACGGTCAGTACATTATAGTTGGCGTTCCTGGCGTGTATGCTACATAGCTAAACAAGAAGGCTACCTAGAGCTAGACATGCTAGGGAAAACATTGTTTTCATACCAGCTACAATGAATGACCGAACGTAGCAGACTACCCGTATAAGATTGCAATTGTAAACATGTTCTTGCTAGCCTAGACTAGCTGTTGTTCATAGTAGATTGGCATATTACACTGAACAACTAGCAAACGTAGGTTAGCATATTAGCTGGCAAGCTAACTGTGTTGATTAGATAGATAGATTAGATAGATACACACTCCTACCACAACTACTACTAATGAATCTAAAACAACTACGTTTCTCTAATATTTTGTGATTTGCATTTGATTTCGTCCAGCCAGATCAGGAAACTCCTGGCGTATCTGGCGGACAACACACACACGGGATGACCACTCTGATGCCTCGTCCTAAAAAGCCCCGGCAGCAGCTTGCAAAGCTGCGATAGGCAAGATGCCGAAAACGCCTATAAGGGCCTGAGGAATGGATGATATACAGTGTATATATATATTTACCAGAGGTGGGAGTAAGTCCTACATGTGCAAGTCATGAGCAAGTCTCAAGTCTTGACCTACAAGTATCAAGCAAGTCCCAAGTCACTGTGGTGAGAGTCAAGCAAGTCAAGTCAAGTCATTGCTCAGGTCAAGTCAAGTCAAGTCAAGTCATACGAAATTCTGATGAATAAGCCCAGTTTCCGCATTTAAATCAGTTAAAGACAGTGGTTATGAAAATGGATTCAACCCACACTATGATCTTCATTACATACACAGTTAATCATTTGAAATCTAATTTAGACCGATGACAATCATATTAGATTCATATTAACCCCAGAACTGCAGACAATATAGCTAGGACTCAGTCAAAAAGTCTGTTCAAAAAGGCAGAATTTATAGGTAAGAAAATCATATATGGCATTTGCCATTACACATATTTAATTTAAATGTCTGTTAACACTAGAACCGCCAACAGCGTCAGCACCTACATAGATATCATTTTCAAGTCATTTAATTTGTTCCTCTTCATAATTTCCTTATAAACTAAGTAGGACGATTTAAAACTCACTTAATTGGGTTAATTTAGAAATTGCTTCAGTTTATCATCATAACAGATCAAAAAGTTCAGATTCATTTTACAATAAATCAAGGAATGATGCACTTCTACAACTAAAAACAACATAATTAAAAGATTAAACAAACTACTAAAGTAGATGAACTACATTATTCAACAGTTTACAGTAACTTCTGATAATAACACGGGGAAATAAACGAGGCATCTTCTTTTCCCTCTCTCTCGTCTCTCTCGTCTCTCTCGTCTCTCTCATCTCTCTCTCTCTCTCTCTCTCTCTCTCTCTCTCTCTTCTCTCTAGTCTCTCTCTTCTCTCTCTCTCTCTCTCTCTCTCTCTCTCTCTCTCTCTCTCTCTCTCTCTCCTGACAGCCCGTCAGTATCAGGGTTAGTACAAATGAATCCCTTGGCGGTTCTTGTGTTCATTTACCGTTTTGTCTTCTCTTTGCAATGCTTAATCGATTTGAAACCAAGTCTAACGTAGCTTAAACTTAACGTTAGCTTTCTAGCTAACACAACACATTCACGCACCTTTCTCTGTGGGTTTTTTTGTAGTGACGAATGAAGTTGGATGTTGTGGTGGTCGTGTCACTGATCTTTATGCTGCAGACCCTGCATACCGCTGTTCTCTTCTTATTAGCGTCATCCACAACATAATCCTTGAATCCAAACTTGACTATTTGTGGAGTAACGCTAGCCGCTGCCATGTTAACTGACACTCCTGCCGTCTAGTGGGTTGCCAGGTTTGCGCGCATGGCGCTATAATCACCCAATCACGTTTTCCGAAAAAACTAAACGTAATATCTCACTACAAAAACAAACGCAAATATTTAATTTTAAACAGACAAGTCCTTTCAAGTCATCTGTCTCAAGCTTAAGTCAAGTCTCAAGTCATGAATACCAAGTCAAAGTCAAGTCAAGTCTTTTATCAATGTTAGTCAAGCAAGTCTCAAGTCAAAAAATATGCGACTCGAGTCCGACTCGTCCCACCTCTGATATTTACACATGTTCATTTTGTACATTTCTAAAAATAAAGTTTGATGGAAATACTTAGTAGGCCTATCCTTTCTTCCCTGAATGATTTGCTCCTATAACATATCATTCATATATAGCAAACCATGATTTGATTTCTCATCCAACATTAGTAGTTTATTACAGGTAAAAATAACTTACTCTTCTATAACAACAGTTGTAGGTACAGTTCGGTTAGTGAGCGTATAAAATATACGGCTGTACCGACGCCATTATAAGACTGTTGTTCCGCTGAGAGCGAGCCGAAAAAAGCACTGTTAGACATGGGCGGAGCCTCTCTGGTGATTGACTAATCAGAACAGAGTGGCCGAGCTGACCAATCGGAGCACACTAGGCTCACAGGGAGGGGGGGGCATCTCTGCCGGAGGATCTCTGTGGGCCCGCGCCGGCGGCTGCTGGCCTAGCAGCTGGACCAACATCCACACCATCGGAGGACTGCGGGACCGCGCCGATGGCTAGCAGCCTAGCGGCAGAGATCCATAAACCATCAGCTAGCTCTGACTGCTCCACTATCAACAACGGCACCGAGGTAAAGCCTAGAAATCCAGTAGTTAAAAAACACCGTTACACAAAAAGGGTTAGGGTTACAGGGAGGGGGGGGCAGAGAGCTCCAACGAGCCGTTTAGGACAGAGAGTGAATACACATACTTTACAGAGATGCTGTATGCGAAACCAATGTGAGTTTGGAAAATTGCACAGTATAAATCTATTTTAGTAGACCTCAACAATGTAATTATGATCAGTGGAAATGGCCATGACATGGGACTTTTAAAAAAATGTCTCAGAATTGTGACTTTTTCCTCAGAATGTGGACAGGTGCAAACAGAAGGCAAGAATTGACAGGACAAGTAATAAAGTAAAGTACACCAGGGCTTTTTATATAAATCAATTTTTTAACCTGTTAAGCCCTGAGCCTGTTTTTCAGGTCTCAGGCTCGAAAATGACATTCCCAGAACAAATGACCATATCTTCCCTTCTAAAAGGGTTAAATTAATAATCTTTTTTCTCAAAGTAATGATAAACCTGTGAGTTGGATGTAGAAAAGTCAGAATCAATATAGATGTTTTTTATTTTAAAGACAATTCAGATTTTACATAGTAAAAAACTGTAAATTATAGTGTCCGTCCAAAAATGCTTTTTTACTTATAGTGAAAACCACCCTTGGATGATGGTAAGGTAGACTAAAAGCTTTAGGAATCCAAAATACAACATATAATAAGTACCCTGTATCAAGATTGATGCAAAACAAGTGACATTTGATCTTTTTAGAGAGGTTTAGCAAAAAGAAACCACTTCTGGGGTCATTTGGGTGGATTTTCCATATCTCTGGCCCCCCTTGCTCGATTTTGATGGTTGACACCTCTTTCTGACCGTTAGAGCCAATAGAATCGAAGGGGGAGTCCCCCACACACACACATTGTGAAACAAAAAGGTGGGGGCTTTGCGCATGTAATATTGCATTAGAGTGAAGCTACACTCTAGCTCTGATATCTAGAAACGTAAAAGCATGGATTATCCGTCTGTTTGCTCATGGATTATCAGAAATCATTTCAAAGGGACACACACACATTAGATTAACCTATGGATTAACTTCAGCAGCGTTTTTATCATTTTAATGCCATTGAAGACCACTTTGGAGAGACTACAGAGCCAAGGTAAAAATGTTAGCATTTTTAGCTACCTAGCGCCACATGTTTTGATGTCCGTTTTTGCTTATAACGTCGCGATTTCGTATAATTCAGTGATAATGAGGGTGTCCATTGATTTTGTGTCACCTCACGATGTGAATCGATGTGTTGGATGTGGAGAAGAGATAATAATAAGGTTTTGTGAGTGATTTTCGGTGCAGTAAGGTGTTAGCATTTTTCGCTCGTTGCTAATTCAGAGGCTCAGTGTTAGCATTGTGGGTTTTCTTTAAAAAAAAAAAAAAAAAAGATCAGTTAGATGAGTTTCTTCCCGTTACATGGATATAAAACATTCATAGTTTATTAAATGAACATGCCCTCAGACACTGTTTCCTGCAAGATGTTGCGGCAGTACCCCGGTACCGGGGTCTCTCGGGCTTAACAGGTTAATAATTGTGCTTTACAGTTTACAGGATGTGCTTATCTAAACTCTGATTAATTTATTCTGCTTTATTAACGTCCTGCTCTTCATCTCTCTCCAGTGGGGACGGGTCTTCAGGCCAAAATCTGCGAACAGTCGCCTCGGCTAACGGGAAGTCATCAAACTCGACTGGAACGTGGATAAGTTTTTCTCCTTTGCAGAACTTCAGTTTCTCTCTCAGTCGGAGCGGATCGAACTCCAGCAGCTGAAACAGGAAGAGCTCAGTTCAGATTCAGCAACATGGACCATTAACTCCAACTCCCATGAGCCTCTGGGAACACGTATATATATCTATATATAGATACTGTATACAACATTTCCACAACATTTTCACACATTTCTATTTCAAAATGTATGTGACATTTTTTCAATTTCTTTAAAAAAAATATTCAACATTTATCATTCAGAAATAAATAACATTTCATAAATCACCTTGTCCTCCACATGCAGAGCGATGCCCACATTATCCCAGACATAGTGCTCATGAGGGCTGCAGGGCCGAGCCTCCATCAGCTGAGTCTCATCGTTCCGGAACAACTCGAATCTGACAGAGAGACAGGAAGTCAATCCATAACGCATTTTTCCCATGTTTACTTGTCTCTTCATTTACGGCCCTTCTTTTCCTGTCTTTTCCTTGTTGTCCCTCCCAGGTTACCTGTAATTGTTGTTTTCTCACCTGTGAGTTTCACACATGGCCTCAGGCCTCCAGATGAAGCGGCCATCTCTGTAACAGCAGACAGCGTTTGGGTCGTCGGACAGAAGAGGATATTCTGAGAACTGCTCCTGATTGGCCGGACTGTGGACCAGCACCACGTACATCACTTCCTGTTTGTACAGGTGGGTCTCATACACCCGCATGAGGGGCTGCTCACCGCCGCAAAACTGGAGAGAGAAGAAGAGCTTTTACACAGAATCACAGAATCATGTGGAAATGTCGTTTAACAAAATGATGAACTTAAATTTGTGGAATAGCATTATGAGTCCTAAACCCTGACATGAGTCAGCATTATGAGTCCTAAACCCTGACATGAGTCAGCATTATGAGTCCTGAACCCTGACATGAGCCAGCATTATGAGTCCTAAACCCTGACATGAGTCAGCATTATGAGTCCTAAACCCTGACATGAGTCAGCATTATGAGTCCTAAACCCTGACATGAGTCAGCATTATGAGTCCTAAACCCTGACATGAGTCAGCATTATGAGTCCTACACCTCAGTACCTGCCGACTGTAGGCCTCCAGCAGCTCCTGAAGGGGGAAGGTGAAGCGGTACGATCCCAGCCTGGAGATCTTCTTGAAGGCCAGCGAAGAGGCAAACTTCCCCAGGAAGCTCTGCTGATCCTGGACCTGCTGCTCTGTTCGGTCCGGGTATGTTTCCTGGAGGAGGCGCTGCTCAGCTGATCTGAGTTCCTCCCTCCCCACCGACAGACCCCACCACACCAGGTCTTCTCTCCACGGGTTCCTGAAGCCTCTGAACAGCTTGATGCCGATCAAACCCTTTCTGTCGGTGTCGTGTTTCAGATGGCTCACATGGATCTCTGGTCGTGGGTATTCTGGGATTTTGTCATTTTTAAAGACATAATTGTTTTCTAAGCCCTGAGCTCTGTCTCTCAGGTCGTCCAGGTTCAGATGCTCCTTCTGAACAACGCTTAACAAACATCCTCTCCTGTTCCTTCCAGCCTCCATGATCAGCTGGCTCTCCTCCTCTGAGGATCTATTACAGCTGACAGAGTACAGCTAGAGACTGAATAATCCACCTGCCACCACGCCCTGTAGGGAAATATAAATAATATGCGTCATCATGAGATGCAGGGAGCGGTCTAACAGGTTTACAGACTCTTCAATTCCTGTTTCAGTGCTTTCAGGAAATCCTCCGTGCAGTTTTTATATTTTACTGCCCAGAGAAAGTCAAACACACTCTGAACCAAATCCTACATAAATGAATCCAAAGCTTTGGAAGAAAATACATCAAACACACACTACACAACACACACTACACAACACACACTACACAACACACGACACACTACAAGACACACTACACAACGCACACTACACAACACACACTACACAACACAACACACACTACACAACACAACACACACTACACAACACAAGACACACTACACAACGCACACTACACAACACACACTACACAACACACACTACACAACACAACACACACTACACAACACAAGACACACTACACAACACACACTACACAACACACACTACACAACACAACGCACACTACACAACACACACTACACAACACACACTACACAACACAACACACACTACACAACACAATACACACTACACACTACACAACACAACACTACACAACACAACACAACACACACTACACAACACAAGACACACTACACAACACACACTACACAACACAACACAACACTACACAACACAACACACACTACACAACACAACACACACTACACAACACCACACAACACACACTACACAACACACACTACACAACACACACCTCACAGTGCTACCATTCATCATTGACAGATTACTGCCGTGCACACATCGTATTAATACAGTGTAGTGTAAGTAACGCTGCTGCTCGAGTCCTCACTAGCACTGAGGGTGCGTCTCACTTCTCTTATTTCTCATCTCCTTGCTCCTTGGTCTCGGTCTCACCGGAAGTTGATTTGTCTGCGCCATCTTGAGTAGCGTCCCAGTGGCCTTATTTGTGCCGGAGGACCGAGGACCGAGGAGCGATAACGGAGGAGCGATAATCGAGGAACTACCATACCATCCTCCGGTGAAATCCTCAGACACTCGCCCCGCCCCCTTACTGTGTATCGCTCACTGATTGGACGATGCAGCGCATGCACTGATCTGGCTGCTTTCAGACGATCAGCTGTGCGGCGTCATCACAAATGGACGTCGCTTCACGTGACACTCCGGAGGAAACGATGTCCCATTGCTCTTAACACTCATTTCCTTGCGTCTCTCCATGCACTCTAACTTTTATTCATGCATTTTTTCTTTTCATGTTTATTTTCTTATCTTTGCTTTTCAATGACTGATTTTAAATGCCATTTTTTTAATGTCTTTCATTTTTGTAAAGCACTTTGAATTGCCTTGTGTTGAAAGGTGCTATATAAATAAACTTGTCTTGCCTTGCCTTGTACTATTACTGTAACAGAGTAATTATACAGTGTAGTATTAGTCCAGCATTAGCAGCCATGGTTCCGGCTCCAGTTCTGTCTCCTGTTTCAGCCCAGTACCCGGGCCATTCAATTCTTGTTGTTGGTCCGGCCCACTCCAGCCCCCAGCGTCCTGTAGGCGGTCCCGCCAACTCCATTTCCTGTTCCGTTGGGGGTCCTGCCAACTCCTTTTCCTGTTTCATTGGGGGTCTTGCCAACTCCTTTTCCTGTTTCGTTGGGGGTCCTGCCAACTACTTTTCCTGTTTCGTTGGGGGTCCTGCCAACTACTTTTCCTGTTTCGTTGGGGGTCCTGCCAACTCCTTTTCCTGTTTCGTTGGGGGTCCCGCCAACTCCATGTCCTGTTCTCTCGGGGGTCCTGCCAACTCCGTGTCCCGTTCCGTCGGGGGTCCTGCCAACTCAATGTACTCCTCCGTTGGGGGTCCTGCCAACTCCATGTCCTGTTCGGTCGGGGGTTCCGCCAACACCTGTTCCGTCCCTGCTGGACATCTCTGACTTTGTTTCAAGGGACGTCTGGAATCCGTCCCTTGAGGGGGGGTTATGTCATGATTTTAGTTTTGTGTGTATTGTTTCCTGTTTTTTAATTATGTTCTCCCTGTGTTTACCCTCCTGTCTGATCGTCTGTTTGTGCCTCCCCTCTCCACCTGTGTCTCACCTCCCCTCTCCACCTGTGTCTCACCTCCCCTCTCCACCTGTGTCTCTCCTCCCCTCTCCACCTGTGTCTCACCTCCCCTCTCCAGCTGTGTCTCACCTCCCCTGTCCAGCTGTGTCTTGTCTTGTGATTACCTTTGTGTATTTAGTCTTGCTTTCCTTTGTGTTTCCTGTCAGTTCGTCGTCTTTCTCGTCCCCTTCATGTTTGTCCCTGAAGTATTTTGGTCCTGATCCGTCTCGTGCTCCCCGGTTTGGTGTTAAGTAGTTCCTTGTTTTTCTTTTCTGATTATTGATATAAGTGTGAATAATGTGATCTAATGAAATCAAAATGTTCCTGTTAGATATTTCCCCAAAGTGTCCTGGCCAGATTTGGACCCTTGGTTTGGTGTTTCCTGATCATCCTGAATGCTACGGCTAACTAAAGAAATGCAATAATAAACTTAACTTGAACTCAAACTGCCGCTGGGCCCAGAAAGCAAATGTTACGCAGGGAATAAAGTCCAATGTCCAGGCAGAAGATCCTTTCATCCGTTTATTGTAGTATTCCAATCAAAGCATAGAGAACTACTGAAACTAATAATAATTAAAGCTGCAAGCAGCGTTGAGCGGGTCTTCGACGCTCCGCAGGCTGTTGTCCGCACGTCGAGGTGTGTGTGTAGGTGTCTCGAGGACTCGGCCGTTGGCAAACGTGGGAAGTTTCAGGCCGATCGGACAATGTATTTAGGAGTTACAGCAGTATCATAAACATTGTGTTTGATGGCGAGTGATCTGTCGCCATGGCAACGGAATTTGATGACACCCCATAATACGCCTAGATGTGTTGAGGGCTGCATCGTTATCAAACCTGTGAAGTTTTGGGCCGTTTGGAGCATGTTAACTGGAGTTATGAGAAAACCGTGTTTCACGGCGACCATTTTGTTACCATAGCAACGACATTTGACGAAATCTCAAAACTGACACATATATGTCTCGAGGGCTTGACCGTTAGCACACATGTGAAATTTCAACACTTTTTTACCATTTACACAGGACTTAAAGCAATATCGTGCTTAACGGCGAGGGATGCGTTGCCATGGCAACAGCTTTTGAGGAAAACTCACTATTGTCATATTGAGGTGTTGAGGGCCGGACCATTAACTGTCATCTGAAGTCTGGTGCAGTTTGGACCATTTTCCATCGAGTTATGACAACATTGTGTTTCATGGCGAGGGATCTGTCGCCATGGCAACGGCATATGATGACATCCCATAATTGGCGTAGAGCTGTTGAGGGCCGGACCATTAACTGTCATCTGAAGTCTGGTGCAGTTTGGACCATTTTCCATTGAGTTAAGACGACACCGTGTGTCATGGCGAGGGATCTGTCGCCATGGCAACGGCATATGATGACATCCCATAATTGGCGTTGAGCTGTTGAGGGCCGGACCATTAACTGTCATCTGAAGTCTGGTGCAGTTTGGACCATTTTCCATTGAGTTAAGACAACACCGTGTGTCATGGCGAGGGATCTGTCGCCATGGCAACGGCATATGATGACATCCCATAATTGGCGTTGAGCTGTTGAGGGCCGGACCATTAACTGTCATCTGAAGTGTGGTGCAGTTTGGACCATTTTCCATTGACTTAAGACAACATTGTGATGTATGGCGAGGGATGCGTTGCCATGGAAACGGCATATGATGACATCCCATAATTGGCGTAGAGCTGTTGAGGCATGGACCGGTGATATAAAAGTGAAGATTGGGGGACGATGGGACCGTGTCCATTGGAGTTACAGCGACACCGTGTTTTATGGCGAGGGATGTGTTGCCATGGAAACGGCATATGATTACATCCCATAATTGGCGTATAGCTGTTGAGGGCCAGACCATTAGCCATCATCTGAAGTCTGGTGCAGTTTGGACCATTTTCCATTGACTTAAGACAACATTGTGTTTTATGGCGAGGGATGCGTTGCCATGGAAACGGCATATGATGACATCCCATAATTGGCGTTGAGCTGTTGAGGGCCGGACCATTAACTGTCATCTGAAGTCTGGTGCAGTTTGGACCATTTTCCATTGAGTTAAGACAACACCGTGTGTCATGGCGAGGGATCTGTCGCCATGGCAACGGCATATGATGACATCCCATAATTGGCGTTGAGCTGTTGAGGGCCGGACCATTAACTGTCATCTGAAGTGTGGTGCAGTTTGGACCATTTTCCATTGACTTAAGACAACATTGTGATGTATGGCGAGGGATGCGTTGCCATGGAAACGGCATATGATGACATCCCATAATTGGCGTAGAGCTGTTGAGGCATGGACCGGTGATATAAAAGTGAAGATTGGGGGACGATGGGACCGTGTCCATTGGAGTTACAGCGACACCGTGTTTTATGGCGAGGGATGTGTTGCCATGGAAACGGCATATGATTACATCCCATAATTGGCGTATAGCTGTTGAGGGCCAGACCATTAGCCATCATCTGAAGTCTGGTGCAGTTTGGACCATTTTCCATTGACTTAAGACAACATTGTGTTTTATGGCGAGGGATGCGTTGCCATGGAAACGGCATATGATGACATCCCATAATTGGCGTAGAGCTGTTGAGGGCCGGACCATTAACTGTCATCTGAAGTCTGGTGCAGTTTGGACCATTTTCCATTGAGTTAAGACAACACCGTGTGTCATGGCGAGGGATCTGTCGCCATGGCAACGGCATATGATGACATCCCATAATTGGCGTTGAGCTGTTGAGGGCCGGACCATTAACTGTCATCTGAAGTCTGGTGCAGTTTGGACCATTTTCCATTAACTTAAGACAACATTGTGTTTTATGGCGAGGGATGCGTTGCCATGGAAACGGCATATGATGACATCCCATAATTGGCGTAGAGCTGTTGAGGGCCAGACCATTAGCCATCATCTGAAGTCTGGTGCAGTTTGGACCATTTTCCATTGACTTAAGACAACATTGTGTTTTATGGCGAGGGATGCGTTGCCATGGAAACGGCATATGATGACATCCCATAATTGGCGTAGAGCTGTTGAGGGCCAGACCATTAGCCATCATCTGAAGTCTGGTGCAGTTTGGACCATTTTCCATTGACTTAAGACAACACCGTGTGTCATGGCGAGGGATCTGTCGCCATGGCAACGGCATATGATGACATCCCATAATTGGCGTTGAGCTGTTGAGGGCCGGACCATTAACTGTCATCTGAAGTCTGGTGCAGTTTGGACCATTTTCCATTGAGTTAAGACAACACCGTGTGTCATGGCGAGGGATCTGTCGTCATGGCAACGGCATATGATGACATCCCATAATTGGCGTTGAGCTGTTGAGGGCCGGACCATTAACTGTCATCTGAAGTGTGGTGCAGTTTGGACCATTTTCCATTGACTTAAGACAACATTGTGTTTTATGGCGAGGGATGCGTTGCCATGGAAACGGCATATGATGACATCCCATAATTGGTGTAGAGCTGTTGAGGGCCGGACCATTAACTGTCATCTGAAGTCTGGTGCAGTTTGGAAGTTTTTCCATTGAGTTAGGACAACACCGTGTTTCATGGCGAGGGATCTGTCGCCATGGCTACGGCATATGATGACATCCCATAATTGGTGTAGAGCTGTTGAGGGCCGGACCATTAGCCATCATATGAAGTCTGGTGCAGTTTGGATCATTTTCCATTGACTTAAGACAACATTGTGTTTTATGGCGAGGGATGCGTTGCCATGGAAACGGCATACGGTGAGATCTCAGATTTCACGTAGAGCTGTTGAGGGCCAGACCATTAGCCATCATCTGAAGTCTGGTGCAGTTTGGAACCTTTTCCATTGAGTTAAGACAACATTGTGTTTTATGGCGAGGGATGCGTTGCCATGGAAACAGCATACGGTGAGATCTCAGATTTCACGTAGAGCTGTTGAGGGCCAGACCATTAGCCATCATCTGAAGTCTGGTGCAGTTTGGAACCTTTTCCATTGAGTTAAGACAACATTGTGTTTTATGGCGAGGGATGCGTTGCCATGGAAACAGCATATGATGACATCCCATAATTGGCATAGAGCTGTTGAGGGCCGGACCATTAGCCATCATCTGAAGTGTGGTGCAGTTTGGACCATTTTCCATTGACTTAAGACAACATTGTGTTTTATGGCGAGGGATGCGTTGCCATGGAAACAGCATATGATGACATCCCATAATTGGCATAGAGCTGTTGAGGGCCGGACCATTAGCCATCATCTGAAGTGTGGTGCAGTTTGGACCATTTTCCATTGACTTAAGACAACATTGTGTTTTATGGCGAGGGATGCGTTGCCATGGAAACGGCATACGGTGAGATCTCAGATTTCACGTAGAGCTGTTGAGGCATGGACCGGTGATATAAAAGTGAAGATTGGGGGACGATGGGACCGTGTTCATTGGAGTTACAGCGACACCGTGTTTTATGGCGAGGGATGCGTTGCCATGGTAACGCCATATTAAGTAACATCAAATTTGACGTAGAGCTGTTCAGGGCCGCAGTGTTAACCATCATGTGAAGTTTGGTGGCGTTCTGAGTATGTCAGTTGGTGTTATGACATCATCGTGTTCCATGGCGAGGGATCGCCTAGCATCAAGCGAACGCGAACTTTGGCGCCAAATCACGGCTACGCCGTGCGAAAGAAAAAAACTTCTGTGATAACTTTGAATTGCCCATGTCTCGAGACGCTACCCGACGAATTTCGAGTCATACGGATAAAGTTCCTGGGAGAAGATAGATTTCGTGCAGAGGATGAAAAACGCGATAAATCGCGTTTTTCCGACGCCAAAATTCAAAATGTCCGACTTCCTGTACGTTATTTTATACCCCTCCAAGAGGCTTTTTTGTTTGTCTCCGCACCCTAGATATGCGTCGCGAGTTTCGTTCGTTTACGTGAAAGTTAAAGTGGGGGGAGTTTACGTTAAAAACGGAAGTGGGCGTGGCCTACGTAATTTTTTACGCAAGGTTCCGGAACCAATTACATATCGCAAGTTGCACCACTTCTGACGCGCGTGCAAAATTTGGTGAGTTTTCACATATGTTGCGGGGGTCAAAGGTTTATCGGTCGCTGCGCGACCGATTTCAATAGGGTCTTCGCCGACCTAGGTCTCAGACCCTAATAATAACATAAACCAATATATAGCTCCAACTCTGAATGTAATGTTAGTTCAGTGAAGGCAGGATGTGCTTATCTAAACTCTGATTCATCTATTCTGCTTTATTAATGTCCTGCTCTTCATCTCTCTCCAGTGGGGAGGGGTCTTCATCTCTCTCCAGTGGGGAGGGGTCTTCAGGCCAAAGACTCCGAACAGTCGCCTCGGCTAACAGGAATTCATCAAACTGGACCTGAGGGTAGAGAAGCCTGTCTCCAAACTGGACCTGTGTTTTGAGTATTTCTCCTTCGCAGAACTTCAGTTTCTCTCTCAGTCGGACCGGACCGAACTCCAGCAGCTGAAACAGGAAGAGCTCAGATTCAGCAACATGGACCCCATCATTAACTACAACTCCCATGAGCCTCTGGGAACACGTTCAAAATCATTTTATAATTCATATTATTTATAAATAAATATTAGAACGGTCAAAGTCAATGTGTTAATAAAACAACTTTCACTTTTTAACGCATGCACGTTTTCTGAACCTGATGAGAGAATTAAAAACCTGAAAGATTTCCCTTTAAAAACATTTAGAAACTATGGAAATCCCAATGAATACATTTCAATTAAATATTTTAATCGATTGACAGCCCTTTACATTGTCTGATATATATATATATTTTTTTTTTATCATTCAGAAAGAAATGTTTCACATTTATTTCACAAAATCTCATGAAATAAAAAATGTTATTCACATTTTTATGACTTTTATCTTCAAAAATTGTTTTTCAGATGTTTTTGAAGGTTTTTCAAGTATTCTTTCGTTATAAGATATTTTGGGTTTTTTTCTTTCCTTTTACACATTTTCTTCTCGACATGTTTCACTTTTTGAATATATTTTGTATTTCCTTAATAACAAGGGCCGTGGTGCTTCTGAGAAAAGGAGCTGATATCAAACTCTGAAACCAGTCCTTGAAGAAGACGGACCAGATCCACTCTGGTCCGTCCTACAAAGTTATCCTGGAAATATATAATTATATGAAATGTAGAGAAAAGCCTGACGCTGAGCTGTGGACAAGAAGACAAAGAGGAAGTGATCACCTTGTCCTCCTTCACATGCAGAGCGATGCCCACATTATCCCAGACATAGAACTCTTTAGGGCAGCAGGGCAGAACCTCCATCTGCCGAGTCTCATCGTTCCGGAACAACTTGAGTCTGACAGAGAGACAGGACGTCAATCCATAACTCATTTCCTTGTTGTCCCTCCCAGGTTACCTGTCATTGTTGTTTTCTCACCTGTGAGTTTCACACATGGCCTCAGGCCTCCAGATGAAGCGGCCATCTCTGTAGCAGCAGACAGCGTTTGGGTCGTCGGTCAGAAGAGGATATTCAGAGAACTGCTCCTGATTGGCCGGACTGTGGACCAGCACCGCGTACATCACTTCCTGTCTGTACAGTTGGGTCTCATACACCCGCATGAGGGGCTGCTCACCGCCGCAAAACTGGAGAGAGAAGAAGAGCTTTTACACAGAATCACAGAATCACAGAATCATGTGGAAAAGTCGTTCAACAGAGTTATAAACTATGAGTCCTCAACCCTGACATGAGTCAGCATTATGAGTCCTACACCCTGACATGAGTCAGCATTATGAGTCCTACACCTCAGTACCTGCAGACTGTAGGCCTCCAGCAGCTCCTGAAGGGGGAAGGTGAAGCGGTATGATCCCAGCCTGGAGCTCTTCTTGAAGGCCGGCGAGGAGGCAAACTCCCCCAGGAAGCTCTGCTGATCCTGGACCTGCTGCTCTGTTCGGTCCGGGTATGTTTCCTGGAGGAGGCGCTGCTCAGCTGATCTGAGTTCCTCCCCCCCCACCGACAGACCCCACCACACCAGGTCTTGTTTTCCCTTGAAGCCTCCGGACTCCTTGATGCCTTCCAAACCCTGTCTGTTGGTGTTGTGCTTCAGGTGGCTCACAAGGATCTCTGGTCGCGGGTATTCAGGGATTCTGTCATTTATAAAGAGGTAATCGTTTCCTGAGCGCTTTCTCTTTCTCAGATCATCCAGCTTCAGATGCTCCTTCTTTACAAAGTGAAACTTACGTCCTATCCTGTTCGTTCCAGACTCCATGATCAGCTGGCTCTCCTCTCAGGACGATCTATTACAGCTGACAGAGTACAGTGAGACTAAAGATAAACCCCACCTACCAACACCTGTCTTTATGTAGTCGAGAGGCCCCGTTGGGAAATGCAAATAATGTGCGTCATCATGAGATGGAGGAACCGTAAACATGTTTCAACAGATTCTTCACTTGTTTCCCTCCCTTATCTTTCAGTCAATCCGGTTTTTATTTTTTTACTGCCAAGAAATGTCTCATTCCCACAAAACTCAACACACTTGTCTCTACAAACAGTCACCTGAACCAAACCGTCCAAATACATCTCCACACACACATGCATCTCCAAACACACATGCATCTCCACACACACATGCATCTCCACACACACATGCATCTCCACACACACATGCATCTCCACACACACATGCATGGCCACACACACATGCATGGCCACACACACATGCATCTCCACACACACATGCATCTCCACACACACATGCATCTCCACACACACATGCATGGCCACACACACATGCATCTCCACACACACATGCATGGCCACGCACACATGCATCTCCACACACTAGGGATGTGCATCTCCATCACTGAGGCCGATGCGATGCGCATCTCGATACGTTGCCAACGATACGATACATTAACGATACATTTGAAACACCGGGCGATACGATTCACCCCTGTTGCGATATAGTTCAATACGATTTGATTCAACATTATGCGATACGGGGCGATACGATGCGATTCAACACGATGCAAAATAATGATACTTCAATATGGTACGACAGAGGATTTTTGTTTTAATCCTTATATGCAGCAAATCATAAATTAACAAAAAAGTGCTTTACATATTTGGTTCTCTCTACTAGTACTGCACATCCCATCATGCTGTTTCTTTGTTACCTTAAAAAACTCTCCAGAGTAAAGTACAATGTTATAACACCTCACAGTTAAACAATTTAAGGATGCATTGCCCAGGATTAACAATGTGCAAATAACAACTACCATAGTGCAATGCACATACAACTGCCAGCCTGATGTGCTTAACACTCATTCATAGGCTAACTCACCAGTGAGCAGAAAGCAGTGGTTTCTATAGGAACAGTAAATAATACAAATAACCTTTCACAAACAGGTATTTCATAACTGCTTACAGTAAGGAAGACATTTAAACTATTATTGGCAGTCACAGGCTGTTGTAAACTAAACACCACTCTCACTGACAGAACACCTCACTGAGTGATTGAACTCATATGTCTAACTTTCAGGTTTCTCTTTTCAGCCGCAGACCCCATGTCGCCTCTTTATGTGCGTCGCTAAGTTCCTCGTACTACGTGTGTACTTTAAAGCCGCACGGCATCGTTTACAATTTGCGAGCGATTTTTCAAGTTGACCGTCTTTCTTGAAAAATTCGAAGTGTTGCCAAACGTTTGATTTGTAGGTATTTTTCGGTGCGCTGTGTTTCTCTTTCTCCTCGACTTCCATGTGTGTTGATAACTGAGACTCTCGGCCTCCGTAGTGGCGAAGCAAAGATCAAAGATCGTCTCTGCTGAGTGCTGACAAGATGAGGGGATATTATATGAATGAATCGTTTTTTTACCGATGCAAAGACGCTACAATCGATGCATCGCGAGTTCAACCCAGACTGTAGCCGATGTGCACTCTTTCAACCGGTGCACTCGCATCTTGAACGTTTATGCCGGTGCACCGATGCGAATCGGTGAATCTTAACATCCCTACCACACACACATGCATCTCCACACACACATGCATGGCCACACACACATGCAGCGGAAGTTGTTGTTTTCCATTTCTTCATGGACGCCTTGCAACGTCCTTCGCCGACTCGCAGGCGCTTTATTGTTTTCCAGACAGCCCAAGGTGGGTCGCAGCCAGTAGCGAGACACTGGTCTGGGGTGACGCCTCTCTCCGTCCAATGGGATGTTTGGCTGCCAAAGCTGTTCCACCAGTTCTGCCATTCAGTAGTCCTGGCACCAGTTGGGGGGGGGGGGGTCTCCAGTACTTCAGTGGTGTCCAGAAAACTGCTCCTGGAGTTAAGGCGGGCAGCAGGGTGCTCGTGAAGTTGGGGCCAGTTGTGATTGGCCTGCTCTGTGCGCTCTGCTTTGGTGATGATTGCTCTGCGGGTGTCAGGGGGGGCGATGCCAGAGAGGACATACAGGCAGTTTACGGGGGTTGTTTTAATACACCCTGTCACAATCCTGCATGTCTCGTTGAGGATAGGGTCTAGTTTACGTGCATGACTAGATCTTCTCCATACTGGACATGCATATTCAGCAGTGGAGAAGCACAGAGCTAGTGCCAATGTACGCAGTGTGCTTGGGTGGGTGGGCCCCCCACTGTACATTTGTTAGTCGTTATAGGAGGTTGTTCCTGGTCCGGCAGTGGCTCAAACAGATCTAAGTATGGAGTGTGGACTGCTACTTGGAGAGGTCCCAGTTCACCTTCTGGGCCCTGCCGTGGTGCCCTTGAGCAAGGCACCGGACACCCATCCCCCCACTCACCATGTCTCCCCGGGCGCTGTCCAATAGCAGCTTTCTAAGAGTTTACAGGAAAGATGGAGATCAGAGAGAACACACACTGAAGATAAGGGGGGTGGATGATGGGCCATGCATGGAAGAGCATTAACAGGAAGTCCAAAAACAGATAAACATTCACCAGTGTCCGACAAATGACCTGCAGCTAGACAAAGCTTGCTAAAGCTAAACCATCTACTCACTTCCACATAAACCACTGTAGCATCCTGCACTAAGATATCACCACAACCCAGAAGACTTGTTTTAGAAATAAAGCCAAACGGTTTTCCAGGGTCAAGCTACTAACAGGAAAACACAAACATTATTTAAAGCTCCCATGTCATGCTTTTCCGGTTATTACCCGTCCCCTTGTGTGTTATGAAGGTTTTTATGCATGTAAACGGTGTGCAGAGTCAAAACCCTCAAAGTACACCCTGTAGCGAGTAAAACTCTAACACAGAAAATACCTCCCCAAAACGCCTCGTTGGAGATACGTCACTGCCCATTTGATTCTTCCGGGTACCGCATGACATCATGCGGTACCCGAAACGAAATGGACCAATCCCGAAGAGCTATGGCCACACCCAGCGGCGCTGGCCGCACCCTCTGCCAGCCTAACATTTACTGTTGGAAGCTCTGGTTCAGTTCACAATCGATCCAGTCATGCCACTGCCAAGAACCTGTTTCCTGAAATGTGAGGAGAAATCTGAGCTGTTTGTCCTACCGACGGAAGAACCACGACGAAGTCAGTGGTTGAAATGTCTTTTTAACACTGTTCCTTCAGAGGTTCGAAGAACCGGCATTTCACAGACGAAAGCTTCCAAAACATTGCCCAGTTTGAGGCCGGATATGCACAGCATTTGAAACTGAAGGACGATGCTATTCCTAGTTTGTTTGGACCGTTTGGAGCAGGGGAAGATTTGGGTACACAACCTGTAAGTTTGCATTGTTATTTGTGTATTTATCAAACAAGACTGTTTAAATGTGTAAACTGTGTCGGACTGCTAAGCCATTGACACAGTGCTAACTGTGCTAACTAAGTTGCTAGCGTTTCCATATATCAACTCTAATATCAGCAGATGGCCTTGCATACATGTATCTCATAGCAGGAGAATGTCTGCATTCACACACAAAATACCTATTGACAGTATACTCCGGGTGATTTGCCGTGCGGTCAGTCGCGAAACGTAATTACATTATAGCTGGCGTAGCGTGTATGCTACCGATCTAACCAACGGAGCTAGACATGGGTTTGCTCGGAAAAACATTTGTGTTATGCTACGTTGCTAGCGTTTAAATATATCAACTACAATGTCAGCAGATGGCCTTACATGTTTGTCATGGCAGGAGAATGTCTGCAGTCACACACACGGAATACTCATACAGTATACTCCGGGTGATTTACCGTACATTGTGACAGTACATGTACATACTGCATGTATAGCTAACGAGGCTAGCTATACATGCTAGCGCAAAACAATGTATTCATGCAAGTTACAATGAATGACCGAACGTAGCAGACTACCCGTATAAGATTGCAATTATAAACACGTTATTGCTAGCCTAATATGAACCACTAGCTTTTGTTCATAGTAGTTTTATTACACTACATTATAGTTGCCGTTCCTCCGAGCTAGCGTTCATATCGTGTTTGCTAAGGTAAACAAGAAAGCTAGGTTAGCATATTAGCTGGCAAGCTGTTCATTAGATGGATTAGATAGATCCACACTCCTACCACAACTACTAACGAATCTAAAACAACTAAGTTTCTCTAATATTTTGTGATTTGCATTTGATTTCGTCCAGCCAGATCCTGCCGGACAATACATGACGGGACTACCACACTGAGGCCTCGTCCTAAAAAGCACCGGCTGCGCCCAGGCAAGATGCGGGGAGGAATGGATGATATACCGTGTATATATGTATATTTATGTTCATTTTGTACATTTCTAAAAATAAAGTTTAATGGAAATACTTAGTAGGCCTATCCTTTCTTCCCTGAATTATTTGCTCCTATAACATATCATTCATATATAGCAAACCATGAGTTGATTTCTCATCAAACAGTAGTAGTTTATTACAGGTAAAAATAACTTGCTCTTTGTTATGACCGGCTCGTAGGCCACAACGGAAAGACAAGGAGACATACACGAGTTTACAAAACCACGGCACATTTATTGTGGTAAATGCAGAGATAGGTGGTCGAGGGGAGAGGATCGCCGAGCCGCTTTGGAGAGAGACGGGCCGCCGTGTGACTCCGGGCAGCTGGGCTTAATAGCACCTCGGCTCCGGCCAGGTGTCCGTGATCGCGCTGATTAGCCTCTTCAGCTCCACCCCATCGTAAGACCTGCAACACACCTGCACAAAGGCCCTGGGGCCATCACACACTTCTATAACAGTTGTAGGTACAGTTCGGTTAGTTAGCGTATAAAATATACGGCTGTACCGACGCCATTATAAGACTGATGTTCCGCTGAGAGCGAGCCGAAAAAAGCGGGCGGAGCCTCTCTGGT